ATATACATAAAAGGCGGCATTAATTCTTCAATTAACAACTTGAAATTAACTCGAAAAGTCCAAGCACCTCTGTGTTCTTTAATCCAACGATCGATCGGTTCAAATCCGACGATACGAGCAGCGTGTTTCTAGTCACACCGCGCTCCTGAATCGCCTTTTCATCAGCTTTTAATTACGAGCACACGGCCTCTGGAATTACTCCATTAGCGAATAAAAGCTGGTCCAGCTTCCCCGGTTCCTTTACCTCTTTTCGACTGAAACGTTCGTTGCTTCAGCTTACGGGAAATTCACTCGAACAGTTGTTTCCCCGCTCATGGACTTGCTCGTTCGTTTACTCTTCGATGAAAGAGACAGTGGAGAAATGAAAAGGTGTAAAAATTGAATATCTCGATTAAAATTATTCATTTTGACAATGTTTGAGAATGTTTGGAGAACGTTCGAAGGATGTTGGAATGCACAAAATGCAATCCACAGGAAGAACTGACGATTCGATATTCTACTTAGAGGCGTGATAGGTGAATTTTCATCGACAGCATGTCGATCGATTGAAAATGTCCCCATATTTTCCTATCTCGCTGTTACACGCGTGATGTATCGCCCCGACAGTGACATCACGTGGAACGTACACCTCTCAGAAACGGCTGTTCCTTTCGCGAAACTCCGTACGTCCGACCAGCTTCCATTTTAACGCCCTCGATCGGAGCCCATCGATATTTGTCAACCCGTTAGTGCTGGATTCATCTTACTTAAGTCTCTCGGTTCTACTCTCGTGTACCGTGCTTATCGACGACACGATGCTGCGAAATCGTGCTCTCGCTGTTCTTGGGAAAACAAGCAGATGAATACATTTCTGCTGTAGCTCAAGGATAGCAGAGTAGCTGACGATGAAACGAAGTTAGAATTGACCAATTAGAGGATGCTGTTCTTTTTCCTTTCTTTTTTTTTTTTTGGTTCGTTTTCTTTTCTTTTCGTTTAGTTAGTGGCCAATTAGGGGAACGACGTTCCTTGAATTTTTTTACGCTTTTTCTTTTGATGTCGCGACCTTTGAAGGTGGAAGATTCTGCGTGGAATCTTTTACAAATGTACCCACCGATCAATTTGATTATTTTTAGTCGTTTACTTGTTTGTTACTTATTTTTGTCAAACGCGTGAAACAAAGTATTCTGCAGTTCTTTTACTGTTTTCTTCTAGTAGTAGAAGTGTCGCGTTTAGAGAAAAGTTTATTTTAAACGTGGTAATATTCGTGGCAAAGCTTCATTCACGATCCTCGGAGAATTGTCCAGCTCCTAAAGGTACATAACAGAAACTAAATGTCTATTGTTGCATACTGGTTTGGAAGCTCACAGTGCAAGAAAGTGCACCCCAAGGTGCGGCTTCCAGAGTGAAGAAAAATAGTTCCTAAACCGTTGGCCTACATAAAACGAGACAAAACCTTCTTTCCCTTAGAATCTCTCTTCATAAATCCAGCTAATCAAGCATTTCACGATGAGCGAAATACAGCTTGCAGAGAAGAAACTTCTCTTCAACGACTCGACAAACTTCCTTCGCAGCTGTTCGAAAAAAAAAAAGAATTGCTCCGACAACAAAAAAAAAAGGAAAGAACTTACTACAAAAGCTGCGAATAAAAATCGAACGAAAAGAAAAAAGAACCCATTAATTACATACACCAAACTCGTGGAAACTTTTTATTCAGATCAACCAGATAACATTTCCTTTCCCTCTCTCTTTCTTCGTCGTCCATCGGAATACTCTCAATTTCCTATCTCCGCAGAGATTCGTGTAATTTCGGAAACTTTTTATCCGGACCGCGAACGTTAGGTAACATCATTCTAACTTTCCTCAACTATTATCTTATGATAATTCTCCGTGATCGATCGCCGCGGAAACTGAACTGTTTCCGCTCGTTCCCCCTTTAACCTAACCTCCAGCAAAGAGAGAAAGAGGGGGGGGGGGGGGGGGGAAGGCGAAGAAAGAGGATTTTCAATTTTCGGATTTGTTTGCACGCGCCGATGGAATTCGTGACTCGCGTTCGAACGTTGCTTTTTCCAGCTTCTCTCGCTGTATATCCTTTCCTTTTGCCCTCCACCCTAGCCGTCTGGAATCCTTTCCACCCGGTTTCGCCCACGACGAAATTGTCCAGCAACAGACGGCGGCGTTTTATTTAACGCCGTATCGTCCTCTGATCGGCCGCGAGTAGGAAGTTCGAGATAAGAGTAACAAACTCGGCTCGCGTCGCTGTGCCGACGTGGCCGATAAACTTCCTTCCGGGCGAAAACCGACAACTTCCGGGATATTTGCTGGTGAACCGGTAATTTCACGCTCGCATCCTGCCGGTTGCCGTTTCCGAGTTCCCCAAATGCTCTCCGGCTAGCGTTTAGATGGAAAGTAGGAATTAAATTTCCGGAGAGAGTCCAGCTGGAGGAGGCCTACTCGAATATCGAAGGGATGGAAACTTTTCGTTCCGTCGACAGGTACACTAACTTCTCGTCTTTTGCTTGGGGATGTTTCTGAATTCTTGCGTTTCGCGGGTGAGAGAGAAGGTGAAGCTTGAAGGGAGAAGAGAATTTTAGGTAGAAATTGGTTATATTGATTAGGGTGGTTTGTTCGATTTATTTTATATTTTTGCTCTTTACAAAGAATCTCTTTTTTCTCGCTATGGTTTGCAGTTCTATATGTTTTCGATATCTAAGGCTGGTTTAATTAGCAATTTAGCAAGAAATTTTCTTTCATTCACATTTTTAACGCTTAAAAGTCTGGACTCCTGAATAATAGCGAGAATTTAACCCTTTACATTCCACTGGGGCCTCTACAGTGACATTTATAATAACTAAATTCGTAGAAATTTATAATTCTTTTTTAAAACAAAATTTTCATTTCCTAAGTTTCCCTGCAAAAATGTGTAATAACTTTTCTTCTCGCGAACGAAGAAAAATCGAATAGCCATCATTTTACACAGAGTTAAATACAATCTCCTGCCATCAAAATTAAAAATTCTAATGTACCTTCGTCTTTCTCCTCACGAACGAAGAAAAATCGGGTTATAAAGGGTTAACTAAATGAAAACAGCCCCTAGGCATCATCAAGAATTCCTGATTAACATTTTCCTCTCTCACAACCAGAGTTCGCAAAGAATCTACCGTAGAAACGTCCAGGCGAGTCCACGAAACTCTCTGTTTCTCCTACACACACACACATTGTCGAGGCAATTTATCCACGTAGAAAACTCAAGGGGATCGTTTTGTCCTAGAATTCCGGGTCCGTCGTTTCCTGTGCACGTCTCGAGTCGTCAAAAATAGTCTTAGGATCGCGACTCGCCCCATTTGTCGCGGACACGACGTAGAGAAAGACGGCTGGAAGGTGGTTTTTCGGTGGAAAGACGACGGGGGCGAATATCTCGGTGAAATCCTTTATGGTCTCTGACGGTCCTTGAATCTGCGGAACTCCGTAGGCAAAGCTTTTCGAGTGTCCGCGAGAAATAAAAGCACCGCTGTGAAACGAGCAGGAAAAAAGACGTCGAGAGAAAGAAGTGTGTATATTCGTTCGAGTTTTCCCTCGATTTTTCGACGCGAGGAGTCAATTCGTCGCGCGGGTTATTGGATTTCGCGATGGCGAGAAAAAGAGAGAGAGAGTAATCGTTTATTTCGACAAACAGCGTCGAACGGCGGAAAACGCGGTCGTGTTTAACGAGATAATTAGCCGGTATTTACAAAATAATCGTAGCTTGGGATTTCGCGTGTAGTAACGAGCGAAACGAACGGTCCGGAACGATCGTTTTTGAAAGTTGTGAAAAATTCATTATGAGAGGAAAAGAGGAAAACGGAGGAAACGGGAAATGGTGTGCTCGTCGCGCAGGCTGAGAGTCTCGTTTGTAGCATAAAGTGAACGTTAAATTAACGTGGAAGTAGTTTGTCGCTAGCCCTAAGACTGCCAGAAAAATAGGTCGTAACAGTTTATACAGCTTGCAGCTGGGGAGAGCTTGTGTATAAAGATGTTGGATAAATTTAAGAATGTATAGTCACTTTGGTGTACCCGTTTTCAGACGTAAAAACAGATTAAACAGAATGAATTTTTGTAGCGTTAAGTGTTTGTCGGATGGTATATAAAAGTAATGCTTCGCTGCAATTGATAAAATACGATAAGGGAGTATTAATGATAATTTGATGCAACTCCCAGCGGTAAGATAACTCTTATGCAATTGGAGCGATAGCTGTGTGAACGAAGAATACTTGAGATCGAGCGATAGAGGTATGAATGAATAGTGTTTGGACCGAGTGCGTGGCCACGTAGAGATTTGGATAGACGTGACCGAATGTGTTTTAAGAATATCCGCGTTCAGTGAGAGAAATAGAGGAATAGTGAGTCGTGGAGCGAGAGTTAGAGAAAATTTAGATCCAAGAGTGCAGAGTATTTGAGAACGCGAGAGTTAGAGAAAATTTAGATCGAAGAATGCAGAATATTTGAGAGCGTGAGAGTTAAAGAAAACCGAGATCGAAAAGCGCAGAGTATTTGAGAGCGTGAGAGTTAGAGAAAATCGAGATCGAAGAGTGCAGAGTATTCGAGAGTTAAAGAAAATCGAGATCTAAGAGCGCCGAGTATTCGAGAGAACTGAAATACCGTAGCCTTTAGTATTCCGTATTAATATTAATGTATATTCGTACCTGTTATCAATTTTATCGAGTACCTGTCTACAGCCCAATGCTACAATAAAATTAACTCCAACATGTATTAAAGATGAAATTTCTCGTTTAAACAAGCTATCGAAAACTTTTTCCAACGAAGTGATCTCCAACTATTAGAATCATTTGTTAGAACAGTCGATATGCTATCACGCGAATTTCTAGAACCTTAGAAGGTGAAACGAGCTAACATCTCTCCCGTACAACGATGGATTGAAAAGCTTTTCCTAATCCGGCGATATCTTTCCATCTACAGGTGACGACTTTCAGCGTTGAACAATTGGGCGTTCGTCCTGCGGGAGATAGAGACCAGAAGAAGTAAGGATGGCCTTTCACTGGGATAAGCTCTCACCGGCGGAATTTCAACAGCTCCAGGACTTGGCAGCTTGTAAGTAAAAAAGCGAAACAGTCGGCCCAGTTGTTGCAACTTTCGCTTCACTGGAACTCTGTTACCAGAGTCGAGGCTGAAAAACCGAGCTGTCGGTGGTAGTGTGCATTTTTTAAAGAAGGGAAACAGAAAATTCTTCCTACTCGACCAAAATTTCCTTCGTATTTTTCACTACTCTTATCTATCCCCCTCTAGATTTTCTCTTATCGATCGAAGAATCCTCGATGAAATTAATAATACTCCCAACAGAGTTTCTTTCCTTTTTTTCCCGAGAATGATTTCCATGGGTAATGCAATTAATCTGTGCAGAATCCGCGATAGAAAGCCACGGTCTGTAACACGCTCGTTGTTTATGGAATTATGTAAATTTAAGCAACATCTTCTGCTAAGGAAGTGGAATTTATTCGGGTCCCGTCTTCTTCAGTAAGACACAATGTGTCTCTCGGATATATTCGAAATTTTCAAGTGTACATTTTTCTTAGGTAATCCACGTTGAGATACGATCCTCCGGCTCCTCGTATTAATACCATAAACAGAATCGTATCCACGGAAACTTTTCATTTTACAGTCTCGTTAGCATGAATCTTCCAACGTTCCGCGGAAAGGCCACTTAAGTGTTACGTGTTTATCGTGTTTGACCATAGCGAACCACTTCTACTGTGTCCCGGTAACACCGCAGAAACGCCGGCCGCTGTTCTGTGGTATACGCACACACAATATGTCGAAAACGAAATCGCTAATTGACCGAGCTCTCGAACGAGCAGCAATTACCGTGTCAATTTCAATTTCCAATTGTCGCTTTCTATAAATTCTCAAACAATCGAACGTTTTTTGTTTCGATGAACTAGCGGTACAATTGGAAAATAGCGGAGAGAGAGATAGAGAGGAAAATCGTGATCGCCGTTCAATTTCCGCATGGTTTGATTTTTCATTTTTTGAAGAGTAGCGTAACATCAATTTCCCGAATTTTTCCCCCGGAGGCGATTCTCAGAGCGGAAATGCGAGTTTCCGACGTGCACGTTAATCACGCGTGCCGTTTGGCCAGAGCGCGATCCATCATCGTTCTCGTCAATCGGCCCGAAAATAGTCGACGCCCAAAAATATCCTGTCCGTTAAGTGCATTATGACGTCGACGCTGGTAGATTAGGCCAATGGTCTCCTATTATTAGTCAATTTATCGGCGTTGTTTCTTCTGCAAACAACTAAATCCCAGATGCCCGACGATCGATCTCTTTCTCTCTGTCCCTGTTCTCTAATCTTCTCCACGATTTTCTTCTTCCTTATGGATTGAAGCTGGCCAATAAACCTTCCTACAATTGCAGCTTTATCCTTGCCCTTTCTTTCCGGAATATCCATTTGAGAGTTCTATATACCTTTCGTCTCCACTCGAAGACTCGAGTAATACCCCGCCGATATCGGTTTAATTGCCACTGTAGGAGACACGGTGAGATGTTGATATTTGTCTCGTGAAAACAGGCTAGTAAAAACGTGGATTCATTTTATCGGAAGTTATATCGTTGAATAGAATGGAGTAGAATCGAATCCTTTCTCTTACTATATCAGATTTTCTTGAAGTTGGTATATTTATTGGTAGATATGAGAAATTAATTTGTGTTGAAAAATCGTGAAATCATTTCGCTTTCAATATTTCTGATTGACTAAGAGATACTAACTTGCAATTGGAATCATTTTAAGGAGGAAGAAGTGCTCTTTCTAAATATGTAATATGAAGAACCAAATTTAAGTATTTTAGTTGAATTTTAATGCTGTTTTGTCTCATAAAGTTATTTACAAAGAATATTGGTCAATCCCACGAAGTTTCCTCTATAAAATTAAGTTTTTTAAATAATAAAGCAATTTTAAAATCCTAGAGAAAGTTCCTCAATTTACACAAGTTATTGAACTTATCCCTATCTCTTAATATATCTCAAACTTATATGTATATCTACGAGCGCGCACATAGTGTTCAATTTTCTATCTTAGTGTTAACTTATTTCATTTTACGAACTAATCTCAAAATGGCTGTGTATATAAGTAGTACCCTTAGAATTAATTTTCTATCTTAAAATTAACTTGTTTCATTTTACAAACCAATCTCAAACTATCTCTTAACTGTGTATATATTAGTACCCGCAGTCCACTCTGTATTCCTAAGAAACAGAGTGACTACGGGTACGCGTAGTTCTCAGCTTGGTATCCCTTCCCAAAAATTCTCATTTCTGGAAAAAGTGTACCAATTACCAGGTCCCACCACGAGGAGGTGACTACGCACGAGACCCGACAAAAACAAGGTCCCTACTGGCAACTCTCTATCTTCGGAGATACGCGTTACTCATTTGCAGCAAAAGAAAATAGACACTTTACCAAAAATTCGTGTCTTTAAAAATATTTCGCGGTACGCTATACGAGTGTCTCATATTTCACTATCATTCGCCCGTGAGATAAGATTCGAAACGACAAATTCTCGATTGCTCGAAAGAACCGACGAGCATACGCGACGTACTTGTACGAGTATCGCGCGCTATTCGTGGGCAAGTGCGTCACGTAAAAGCTCGAAGGAACTGAGCGATCGAGAATCGGTATTCGCGAGAACATTATTGTTCTATGTTTAGTATCGACGTTGGTAAAAATGCGGAAGGCATTTTTATTAATTATGCTACAAATGAGTCGCGTATCTCTGTAAGAGAGCGCGCACATGGTATTTAATACAATTTTCTATCTTAGAATTAGTTATTTTATTTTATGAACTATACTTAAAGTTAAAACGCACGCATCCCACGATGTCCATCGATGGATGATTCAAATATTTACTAACTTATTTTATCTTATGGACTACTTAAAGTTAACATTTGCTTGGTTCACATTCGCATACTTTACAGTATTTTATATCACACGCATGTGGCACTCTACAATTTTCTACTCATTTTCTCATACAAGTTTACATGAAAATCAGTAGAAGGAAGGGAAATATCTGAAAAGATAATAATTTTGAATATATTAATTAGATAAATCGACGATTATCAATTCGAAATGTTCCTTTGTTAGTATAATTTTTTGAAATAATAGGAATTACCTAAGGCATACCAACTCTCAGATCTATCGAGCCTTTGAAATTCCCTCAGTGAGCCATTTGCATCCTCCAAGCATCGAATTTTGCTTTAAACAATAAACAATAGGAATTACCTAAGGCATACCAACTCTCAGATCTATCGAGCCTTTGAAATTCCCTCAGTGAGCCATTTGCATCCTCCAAGCATCGAATTTTGCTTCCACCACACAGTTTTGAGTCCTCCAAGCCTTGAATTTGGTTCCACCAGTGGTCCAATGCCAGATTGAGAGACCCAAAGCCACATTGAGAGACCCAAAGCCAGATTGAAGGACCCAAATGCCACTTTGAATGACCCAAATGCCACTTTGAATGACCCAAATGCCACTTTGAATGACCCAAATGCCACTTTGAATGACCCAAATGCCATGAATGACCCAAATGCCAGATTGAATGACCCAAATGCCAGATTGAGAGACCCAAATGCCAGTTTGAATGACCCAAAGCCAGAGTTGAATGACCCAAATGCCACTTTGAATGACCCAAATGCCACTTTGAATGACCCAAATGCCACTTTGAATGACCCAAATGCCACTTTGAATGACCCAAATGCCACTTTGAATGACCCAAATGCCACTTTGAATGACCCAAATGCCACTTTGAATGACCCAAATGCCACTTTGAATGACCCAAATGCCACTTTGAATGACCCAAATGCCACTTTGAATGACCCAAATGCCACTTTGAATGACCCAAATGCCACTTTGAATGACCCAAATGCCACTTTGAATGACCCAAATGCCACTTTGAATGACCCAAATGCCACTTTGAATGACCCAAATGCCACTTTGAATGACCCAAATGCCACTTTGAATGACCCAAATGCCACTTTGAATGACCCAAATGCCACTTTGAATGACCCAAATGCCACTTTGAATGACCCAAATGCCACTTTGAATGACCCAAATGCCACTTTGAATGACCCAAATGCCACTTTGAATGACCCAAATGCCACTTTGAATGACCCAAATGCCACTTTGAATGACCCAAATGCCACTTTGAATGACCCAAATGCCACTTTGAATGACCCAAATGCCACTTTGAATGACCCAAATGCCACTTTGAATGACCCAAATGCCACTTTGAATGACCCAAATGCCACTTTGAATGACCCAAATGCCACTTTGAATGACCCAAATGCCACTTTGAATGACCCAAATGCCACTTTGAATGACCCAAATGCCACTTTGAATGACCCAAATGCCACTTTGAATGACCCAAATGCCACTTTGAATGACCCAAATGCCACTTTGAATGACCCAAATGCCACTTTGAATGACCCAAATGCCACTTTGAATGACCCAAATGCCACTTTGAATGACCCAAATGCCACTTTGAATGACCCAAATGCCACTTTGAATGACCCAAATGCCACTTTGAATGACCCAAATGCCACTTTGAATGACCCAAATGCCACTTTGAATGACCCAAATGCCACTTTGAATGACCCAAATGCCACTTTGAATGACCCAAATGCCACTTTGAATGACCCAAATGCCACTTTGAATGACCCAAATGCCACTTTGAATGACCCAAATGCCACTTTGAATGACCCAAATGCCACTTTGAATGACCCAAATGCCACTTTGAATGACCCAAATGCCACTTTGAATGACCCAAATGCCACTTTGAATGACCCAAATGCCACTTTGAATGACCCAAATGCCACTTTGAATGACCCAAATGCCACTTTGAATGACCCAAATGCCACTTTGAATGACCCAAATGCCACTTTGAATGACCCAAATGCCACTTTGAATGACCCAAATGCCACTTTGAATGACCCAAATGCCACTTTGAATGACCCAAATGCCACTTTGAATGACCCAAATGCCACTTTGAATGACCCAAATGCCACTTTGAATGACCCAAATGCCACTTTGAATGACCCAAATGCCACTTTGAATGACCCAAATGCCACTTTGAATGACCCAAATGCCACTTTGAATGACCCAAATGCCACTTTGAATGACCCAAATGCCACTTTGAATGACCCAAATGCCACTTTGAATGACCCAAATGCCACTTTGAATGACCAAGCGTGAGTCACTGTGGAATGGACGACGCGAAAAGTATTTCGAAACGCGGTTTATTCAAGTTTTATTTCAGAGGGAAAACCGCGATTTTATATTATTCTCGATTTTTGTAATAAAGCAAAATTTGAATAGAATACGCGTAAAGGAACCCGTGAATTTACATTTTTCTCGATTCTATGATATAAGTAAATTTCGATAAAAGTCGCGACGATAATTTGGGAGAAGTGTCACTTGAACGCGAAAAAATATTCAATAATAATCGAACTAGGGATGAAGCTATTATTTCAAAACGCGATGCACTGACTCTAATATTTATAAAAATTCAAAAATTCTCGTGTAAATTCCGAAAGTAGATTATTAATTACGATAAACTAGCGAAACGGTTTAATTAAGGGTGGGCGTAGTGCACGAGTGTAGTGCGCTCGTTCCAAATCAGCTCACAATATACAGTACAATAATAAAATAACTAACTACTTAACATGCAAATCATGCAAACTCCTTGGATAGCTGTAAATTATTAGTACACAAAATCACATATCATCAAATAAATTCAATATCAGAGAAAATATCAGAGACATAAAATAAATTCGAAAAACTGAAAGAAAAATTTCAAATTAATTTCAATAGCTGTAAGAATAGCACGTATTATCGATTATTAAGAAGCTGTAACGAAAAAGTATTTAATTGATCGATAGCTGAAACGCCAAATTCCATTAGCAAAACATCAAATTCATTTCAATATCCTATTCGACAAGAATAAAGAGCAACGATGACTAAAATTCAAATGTTTATTTCCCTAAACCTTCCAAACAATTCGAAGTCTAATTGGGAAAATAATATTATCTTATTTCTAAACCGAAGGTCGAAGTCGCGTATTTAAAGTCTGATATTAAGTGTCTACCGCGTACCGGTGATTGTTAAAGTTTGATTTAAAAAGAAAATAGAAATGTCTAATAGGTAGTAATTGAAATTCTATAGTATATAAATTTCAGAGGAAGGTAGAGTGTGTATAGGGTGGACATAGGTTAGCTAGTAACCCTCGACCACTCTATTCACATCTCAGAACCTTTAAGACTAATTTGCCGCGAAGTGTCTAGGGCCCAGTATAAAGGGTAATGAGCTCCCGAAATTTCGGCGGGTCCTTATATACCTGCGGTACCCTCTCCCCAAAGTCATTGGCGAAGTCGTTAACAAGGTCGGGCGGGAATCGACTGTTTTTCGCGGGAGATCGTCTATTTTTCGCGGGAAATTTCTGTTCTTCTTCTATTACAATGTTATAACACGGTATAATTATTAATTTTCACAATTTTATTATTAATTTACACGATTGTTATAACACTACGTTATATATCCTTATAGCTTTCTTCAATAAAAGAAAGTACAATGGCTAAACTTAAAATATTATTGATTTGTTTAACATCTAGAAATAATTTAGAGATATTTGTAGGAAATATGTAATTAAAATAAATAATTGTATTAATAATTAAGAATGTTTTCGTGAAATTCTATTATATTACTTTCTCACGGTGAAATTAAGCTTGCGAGAGACTTGTGGTCTTCGTAAAATTATTATGCTGAATAATGTTTTACGTAAATCAAAAGTTTATTCGATTTTTGTTTATTGTAATATCACGAATTAGTTTATATCGTAAATTTTGGCTGTTTATAATAAATTTGATGTCAGCGATGATTAAAAATTAGACTGATCTGTGGTCCTGTATTAAAAATAGCCATAGTAATGGTAAAATTATTACATTAAGTAATGTTTTACATAAATCAGAAGCGTATTCCATTTTTGTTTATTATATTATATCACGAAATAACTGATATCATAAATTTTATGTTTGTAGTAAATTGGGAGTTCTGTTTACATATTGTAACGATTATAATTTTGCAGTTTCGTATTATTTTCCCTGCGACTTCTGTGTTTACAAATGATTGAAATATAGCCTACCAAAATTCATACTTCTAAACGGCATATTTATTATTCTAACTGAATTTTCTGAAATTTCGAAGAACACGTGTAAACTTCCATCGTATTTAAACAACATTCTCGACCAAATACGACAAACTAATTACCAAAAAATTAATTAAATCGACGAGAATCAATAACGATCATCGTGACCAAGAGAATGGATCGATCGAAACCGTGGGAAAACCGAGTCGTTTATAAAATTCTGCCTTCGTGGAGCAAACAGGATGCAGTTAATCGAGGAAACGACTTAAAAGAAAGGGAAGAAACTTAAGTTTGTGTGTTACTGGGTCAATCTGGCGCAAGAAAGAATCATCGTCGCCACGGTGTTTTACTTTTGGAAATTTCGGAAAAAAGTCGGCGGAGGAATAGGAGAGAGAAAGGCTTGCTTGGTGAAAATAGGAGTAAAGAGAGGGTGAGAGAGGAAGAAATAAATAGAATAGGCGAAAAGTGGAGAACGTGAGAGACCGTGAATGTGGCGATCTGCAAAAATGATGGAAGTCGTGTAAAAAGCAACTTTTTATCTCTCGGCCAATCGGAAATATTGAAGACGAAAAGGACAGTTTCGCTCGATTTTTCCAGCGTGAGAGGCTGAAATTGAAATTTTACTCAAATTAGTTTCTCATATTTACCAATTTTACAAATTTCAAATCTCGTATTTACAAATTTACCGTTTAACCCTTTCGCTGATGGCCCTTGGCGCCTACAGGCGCTGCGAATATTTTATTTCGCACACTTTCACCTCATTTTAATTCACAATGTCTGTCCTGCACACACTTCCACCTTAATTCAACGAAATAACAAATTTTTTAACATCTTTAAAGCTCCAAAACGAAAGATTTATCGATCACAATCGAACATCTACCGTCTGGTACGCGCGTTACGTACCAAACCTGCGACAGAGAAAGGGTTAAAAGAAAACAGTGACCTAATGACGCAAACTGTGCGATTTGAAACAATTCCCACGCTATTGAAACCATTCCAATGTTTCTACCATTTTTGAGACGAGAAAGCTTCCAGTTTGATCGTTTCACCGGTTCGCCACAAAAGATGTTCCTACCTTCGCAGAAACATAAAGGCAATTCACTAATTATTTGGTCAGTTCCAAATAGATTCTCTCTCTTCCTCCCTCCATATTCTATTGTATCGTGCAACGTTTGTAAGCTCGAGGTCGAATGCAATTTTGTTACACATTCTAAGCGGGAGCGCCATTACAATTCCCGCAGAAATTGCATTTTCTGTTGCGGTAAACAGGAAGCTGTACAGCGAAGCAGGAAGTCACGGTTGCTTTTAACTTCATTGTTTCAGATTCCACGCGAAAGCTACAGGATGTCCTCGCCGAATTCTGCGGATCAAACACAACGCCCAGCGGTGCGCCGAAATATCATCCAGATGGAGTAAGTCCTGAACCATATACCGCGATATTCCCAGCTCGCACCTTCTTTCCTTCGTTTATTAAATTTCACTTGTTCATCGATCTCTTTTAATCTGATTTTATTGCGTGCACATTTTCATTCACCGTGTCTCTCTATATTTCTCTCGTCGATTCTCCTGCGTACACACACGTATCACTGGAATCAAAGGATTAACGCGGAGAGATTATAATTAGAATAAAATATCCTCTTAGGGATTTCAGGGAAGAATTAAAGGTTCGTATAGAACGTGTGTTGGAGAATTGAAAGTAAATTATTCCTCGATGGATAATACCCGGCTAACGATATTATCGAGATCGTTAACACAGCGCCGCGGTGTTATGGGGATTTTATACGAATTCTCGGACACTCGTTTAATTCAACGGTGTCGATATTGAGAAGAATTCGATCCGAGCTAAATATTTCGTAATTGAAATTGAACGGGAGGGAAAAATAGACGATATTCGCGTTTGGAGAAAGAAAATGTATAGATATCGTAGGGAAGAACAAAGTGGTGGAAAAAGTGTAATTGGACGGGTCAATGTCATCGCAACAGCATGAAAATCCAGCGAAGTGCCGACGATCGAATAATACGTTCGTTGCGTGCTTGATAGCTTTAATTCTTCGAGCACGTTGTAATGAAATTACCATCTTTTTTTTTTTTCGTTCGTGCAATACAATCGTCGAAAGTGTGTACTCGTCGGTTAAATTTCACCTGGCGATACTCGAAATAATACACTCTAACGATCTGCATTTTTCGCGTGGTTCGACACGCGGGAAATAAAACGGCGACAATACAGACGGATAATGGGACGTCCTGCCGGACGAATCATCCTCGCAATTTCCCGGTAAACATCTTCCCAAGCGTATTCGAACGGTATTGTGCTGTAATCGTTTTATTCTTGACTGTTGATACGTCAGTTTTGTCTGCGCTATTTCTGCGCTGGAAAACGGAACGGATTGTATTTTCGTATAATTGACGGAGCGAAGTAGTCGACGAGGGGAAATTTGGAGTTTCAATTTTAGCTATTTTAAGAGTGAAGCGTGCCAAATGCAAAGTCGATTTAATTCAGTTTTACTTATCGGGCAATTTGCTTGGAAAGAATGTGAAAGAAACGTGCCTGAGGGGTTGTAGAGAATATCTGGAGAAGATTTCAACGATGGTGATAAATACGTTTAAGTTAATTATTCGTGAGAAGTGAAAATTGCATCCAGTGTTTTCTTACTATACAGTGTACTTAAAAAGAATGTTAAGAAAGCGTCTTAGGGTTGTAGAAACAATCTGAAGAAAGTTCCAAGAGTGTGATGATAATAGTGAAGTGTCCACATTTTTTTGAAGCATTCTAGATTTACCTAAATTATTCCTGAGAAGTGAAAATTGCATCCAGTGTGCTGAAAAAGTATATTTAAAAAAATGTGTCTTAGGATTATAGAAACAATCCGAAAAAAGTTCCAAGAGTGTGATAATAATAGTGAAGTGTTCACATTTTTTTGAAGCATTCTAGATTTAACTAAATTATTCCTGAGAAGTGAAAATTGCATCCAGTGTGCTGAAAAGGTATATTTAAAAAAATGTGTCTTAGGATTATAGAAACAATCTGAAAAAAGTTCCAAGAGTGTGATGATAGTAAAGTGTCCACATTTTTTTGAAGCATTCTAGATTTAACTAAATTATTCCTGAGAAGTGAAAATTGCATCCAGTGTGCTGAAAAGGTATATTTAAAAAAATGTGTCTTAGGATTATAGAAACAATCTGAAAAAAGTTCCAAGAGTGTGATGATAATAGTGAAGTGTTCACATTTTTTTATTTAACTAAATTATTCCTGGGAAGTGAAAATTGCATCCACTGTGCTTAAACAGAATATTTAAAAAAATGTGCCTCAGATTTGTAAATTCCATCAGCAAAAAATTCCAAGAATATGTTAAAATCCTTAAAAACACTCTTCCCGATTGAAACTACAATCCATCTCACACTCACAACTCTCCCAAAAGCACGCGCTATTCAATAAAACCGACATATCACTCGAAACCTCTCACATCCCCAAAAGTCTCGAAAATCATATCAAGAACCCATAAAAGCTTAATATCCAAAAGCACCAAAGTAGAATCGCCGATTCTCCTTACTGAATCTCGCAGTATGCGCGTCGACAATGGAAGCGAGGATAAAGGATAGGGGATAAAGTACGATCGTTACGATAACCGGTGTGTAAAATCTCGCAGCCATAAAAGACAAAGTCAGCGGTCAGAAAACGCGTCTGCGTTGCAGGATACAGCGTTTCATGGAGCATCGTCTGTTCGATACAATCGTCGCCACACGCACCCATACAAACCTGAATGTACACACATGGAACGTGTTTCTCTCCGTGTTAGCATGCAGGCGAGGAAACGCGTGTCCCATAAAATCCGAAACTATTCCTGTGGCCATTACAGTGGGAATACGTCTGGATCCACGTGAACAGGTGCGAGTTATTGCCAGTTTATATCACACGACTTGTTTGCCTACGTGTGCCTGTGTATTCTGCGGCAACGTGTGTTATTTCATCCTCGAATCCCGAAAAACACCGAAAATTCGTTTAATTATCTTATCCGACACGATCAAACGATGCCAGGGTTCGATTAACCCACGGGGGATAATGTTACTCGGTGTGCTGAAAAGGTATATTTAAAAAAATGTGTCTTAGGATTATAGAAACAATCTGAAAAAAGTTCCAAGAGTGTGATGATAATAGTGAAGTGTTCACATTTTTTTATTTAACTAAATTATTCCTGGGAAGTGAAAATTGCATCCACTGTGCTTAAACAGAATATTTAAAAAAATGTGCCTCAGATTTGTAAATTCCATCAGCAAAAAATTCCAAGAATATGTTAAAATCCTTAAAAACACTCTTCCCGATTGAAACTACAATCCATCTCACACTCACAACTCTCCCAAAAGCACGCGCTATTCAATAAAACCGACATATCACTCGAAACCTCTCACATCCCCAAAAGTCTCGAAAATCATATCAAGAACCCATAAAAGCTTAATATCCAAAAGCACCAAAGTAGAATCGCCGATTCTCCTTACTGAATCTCGCAGTATGCGCGTCGACAATGGAAGCGAGGATAAAGGATAGGGGATAAAGTACGATCGTTACGATAACCGGTGTGTAAAATCTCGCAGCCATAAAAGACAAAGTCAGCGGTCAGAAAACGCGTCTGCGTTGCAGGATACAGCGTTTCATGGAGCATCGTCTGTTCGATACAATCGTCGCCACACGCACCCATACAAACCTGAATGTACACACAGTAAAGTGTCCACATTTTTTTGAAGCATTCTAGATTTAACTAAATTATTCCTGAGAAGTGAAAATTGCATCCAGTGTGCTGAAAAGGTATATTTAAAAAAATGTGTCTTAGGATTATAGAAACAATCTGAAAAAAGTTCCAAGAGTGTGATGATAATAGTGAAGTGTTCACATTTTTTTATTTAACTAAATTATTCCTGGGAAGTGAAAATTGCATCCACTGTGCTTAAACAGAATATTTAAAAAAATGTGCCTCAGATTTGTAAATTCCATCAGCAAAAAATTCCAAGAATATGTTAAAATCCTTAAAAACACTCTTCCCGATTGAAACTACAATCCATCTCACACTCACAACTCTCCCAAAAGCACGCGCTATTCAATAAAACCGACATATCACTCGAAACCTCTCACATCCCCAAAAGTCTCGAAAATCATATCAAGAACCCATAAAAGCTTAATATCCAAAAGCACCAAAGTAGAATCGCCGATTCTCCTTACTGAATCTCGCAGTATGCGCGTCGACAATGGAAGCGAGGATAAAGGATAGGGGATAAAGTACGATCGTTACGATAACCGGTGTGTAAAATCTCGCAGCCATAAAAGACAAAGTCAGCGGTCAGAAAACGCGTCTGCGTTGCAGGATACAGCGTTTCATGGAGCATCGTCTGTTCGATACAATCATCGCCACACGCACCCATACAAACCTGAATGTACACACATGGAGCGTGTTTCTCTCCGTGTTAGCATGCAGGCGAGGAAACGCGTGTCCCATAAAATCCGAAACTATTCCTGTGGCCATTACAGTGGGAATACGTCTGGATCCACGTGAACAGGTGCGAGTTATTGCCAGTTTATATCACACGACTTGTTTGCCTACGTGTGCCTGTGTATTCTGCGGCAACGTGTGTTATTTCATCCTCGAATCCCGAAAAACACCGAAAATTCGTTTAATTATCTTATCCGACACGATCAAACGATGCCAGGGTTCGATTAACCCACGGGGGATAATGTTACTCGTGGAAAAATATTGGCTCTAGTTCGTACGGTGATAATGTTTCGATTGAACGTGTGATAACAAAATACATGAATAACTATAATACATTTGACTATGACACACGCTTCTTCTACTCACGCCTCTCGACTTTTCCAAACACACTGTCCTTCCATCCCTCGCATACCGTACTTTATAGCCAGGCCCTTCGTGGGCCTCTCGTCGCCGAGGTTTTACCCGTTAGGCCCTGGCTATCGTCGCTCGTCGACCGCCTTCTCTCTTATGCTGGCCACATTTCCTTAAAACTACGCTTGCTTAAAATTACGATACTACAAACGTAACTTTTTTTTTCTTTTTTTCTTTTTAACAGGCTGTCGACTGATTTCAGTTCTGGTGTAATGGAATAGGTAGTGATTTCACGTGTTTCTTGTACGACGTGAGTGACCTGTTGTTCCATTGTAAAGACGTCACAGGGTTTCCCATTTTGTCATCCGATAATCTTTGTAGACCCAATGTTTACCGGTACGAGGCTTGTCATATCTTTGATACCTTTTTATTAAGGAATTCGATACCTGATAGATGGTGGCCACGTAACTTCAGCTTCCCTCATTGTCGTCCGGAGTTTAACTACCGAGTTATGTCAAAGTTTCACATCGTCAATCTCGCGGACAATAGGATCACGCGTTATTATTAGATCGATACTCGAG